CGTGTACGTCTTGTTTTGGGTTTGTGTAAGCCTTTTGTTCTTTGGGGTGTAATGTCTGTTTCATCGCTCTCCCAGGATTGCTGCGGAACTGTCCGTGACGATCGTGGGAGAGTATCCTTTGGGGAGTTGGTGTGTTCTTAAGGTATATTATGTAAAGAAGATGGAAAAGTCGTGGGAGTACAGACGCAGACCAGAGAGATGTGGCCTGTGATTGAGCAATGTATAGGGGGCGAGCCGGGTTTATAGGAGAAAACGAAGTTGTATGTAAATGTATGACACTGCCTGGCCGCGAGGCCCAGATGTTTGTGCTGTCCTGTGTATGTACTCTTATACAAGTACAATTTAGCCATATCCAGGAGCGCAGATTTATTTTTCCTATACTATGTACTCTTATGTTTGCAGAAATAAAGAATTTGAAAAAAAAAATGTTATATACGGCAGCTTAGCAATCCTTAAATGTGGTGAATTCATTTTTTTCCTTTACTTTCACCTGCTGATTCAGCCAGTAACACACTTCCTGTCTTGTTGGCCATACATTTTTCCCCATTCCACCTACAAAAAGAATATAAGATTTCCTCCAGCCACACTAAACAGCATATGGAGGAATCTCCCACTGTATCCTTCAGACAGTGGCACAGAATACTCGTACAGTGACTGCAGCTGATTTTCCATCAAGCGCCTTCCATTTTCTGATCAAAAGATGCTGGACAAAAGGGTGATGACGGGGCACCCACTGTGCGAACCGGCTGAACTGCGCACAGTGTATGGCCAGCTTAAGGATGGCTCCACTCTACGAAGGAGCAACAGCTTGGTCTGTTAAAGGCAAAATCAACTTAGGAGGAAAACAAAACAAAAAGACGCCAAACAAATAACCCCTGCCACAGTGCCAGACAGGACTTGTAGCCACTCCATTCACAGATCCTGTTAAAGATCTGTGAACAGATAATGTGGCTTTATAGGTAGAGGCACGAACAGCAGCACCAGATTAAAAAAATGGCAGATGAACCCCTGCCAGGTAAGAAAGGGGGTGCTGATGTAACCATGTTTAATGCTACACCCTCACTATAACTAACATGAAAACAATGTTAAAGGTAAATGTAGCCTTTAAATTAAGTTGAAACATAACAGACTCACTGAAAATAAACTTACTCACAATGAAGTACAGGAAAAAAAAAGAAAACGAATGCAGCCACCATGTTAAGGGTGTATTCAAACCAAAATCAGAAGGTACCTGCAGGTCAACAGCAGGCTTGTGATTGCACCTTCCAATCTACTGCGTTTTCTTTTGCCATTTCCTTGCAAGCTTCATGTGAAGTAACATGTCCTGATTGGGCATACTTCACTGTAATAGCTTGCAATGTGTTGGGGGAAAAAAGGAGCATGCACTTTTTTCCTCTGCGCAACAAACGGCAATGGAATAATGTGAACTATCCCATTCATTTTTCATTGCCCATGACTTAGCATCCATGAAAAAATGGATGGCAACACATCTGGTGTGAATGGGGCTATGCAGCTGGGCGGATCCAGACATAATTGGCGGGATCCGCTTCAGCTGAGGCGTCTCAGGATACCGCGAGCTGAAGCTTGCGGTTTACTGAGCTTATGGTGACGGGAGGATGCTAGTTTGTGTCCTCCCGTTACCCTGAGAACTATGGGGAAAAGCCCTAACCCGATAGTTCTCCTTTAAATGATGCCTCTTTATCCGATCATCATTATCTACTTTCTAGTAGTTTTCAGGAGTCCCTCCAGCACTGGTGCCGGTCTCTGATCCAGCGTTGATCTTCTCTGCCCAACATGCATGCTCCCGGCTGCGTGCATTTACCTCCACTGTGTCTCCTTCTCCCCACCAAAAATCTCTACTGCGCATGCACCCACCCTATCACCCTGCACGGCCGCTTGAGCATCTTCAGATCCTCAGGAGCGAGCAGGGGTGACAGAGGTAAGTAATAACCTGTTTGGTAACTTTTCTTTTGTAATAATTTTGCATACATTTACTGCTTGCTGGCAGTAGATATATGTAAAAACAAAAGTGACTTTAACACTACTTTAAGTGCACAATGTTGTCTAGGTAGTAAAATAAAGATCAGACACGACTGGCTGTTAGACCAGCCCCTCAGCTCCAGAGGTCTAAGAAACTGCAAGTCATTACATACTATACACTGAGAAGGATTTCTCCGCCAGAGCAGAGGGGGAGACAGCCAGCTGGGGTCTGAGGACATGGTGAGTATTTCTTTGTTATTGGAGCTCCCTAGACAAAATGGTTAAGATGTCATATGCCCGGTAAGCTGCAATACATTACACTGTTGACTCTGGGTGTAGAGACACTTTAAAGTACATATACTGACCCTGCCTCCCAACAATCTCGGCCACATGTTCAGAACTGGGTACTGGGACCCCCTCAGTCATGTTGACGCCTCTTCTTCGTACTTCATGGACCAGCATGCGATCAGCTGACATCTCTCCAAAGATGTCCCCAGGCTCTGGGCTAGAAGACCCTGAACCAGGCAACTCCACGCCAGTTTCTTCTCCATCCAGATCTTCATGGAGTCCCAAAGCAGAAATGGGGTCAAGCATGAGCGGGAACTCCTCGTCTGCAGGCTCTTGGGGGTATAGGTGGACACAGGAGAGATCCATCCCGGGAGGTAGAAAGGCAGCTTCGCGCGCACCATGGTGGCCGGCTTTGTCATAGGGCTGCAGGGGAACTTGTTGTTCCTCCCGATGGTAGAGGGTGGGCTCTACGAAGTCCACTATTGTACCGGCAGATTTGACGGTTGGTCTGAGCAGGGGGTCTGATGGAAACAACTGCTTGAATGTATAGATGGATTGCAGCTTCTCCGGATCTTGTTGTTGATGCTCTATGCCCTCAGGAGCATCCCTCTGCTCGGGCTCCGGGAGCACTGGGTCCACATCCGCTGGCCGGAGACATATCAGGGGAACGGGATCTCTTGGGCCCACCTGACAATGTTCCTCAGGTGTATCCCCTCTACTAGGTGTATGATGGAGATCCAGCGGGCCCAGGCCCCGGTGAGACTCCTGGACATCGCCGGAGTCGTGTTTGAATTGTGACAAATCAAGTCCAGTTGACGTCAGTGTCTCGTGACTCAAATGCTCTCTGTGTGGCCCCCGGGGGCCCGACTCTCCTTTGACAACTCCCTCATGTGGCCCCCGGGGGCCCTCTCCACCCGGCTCCTCCTCCCCCCGGAGCTCCTGCATGCTTCCACTGCCACCTCTGCTCGTTCCTGAGCCGTGCGCGCTCCCATCCGCCACCCCTTTTGTTTGCTGCATGCCGTGTGCGTTCATACCGTAAGGCGACGCCCACAACAAACGCGCGCGCAAACTCCTCCCACCACAATGAAACTGCTGGGCGGGGACGAGTCTTCCTTCTGCAATACTATTGGATGAAGGCGGAGGAGGTTGGCAAGACCATGTCAATCAAACTGGATTTCTAATTGTGAATTACCTAGAGATGTTGCGGCCGCCCCGCCCACTCTGCACCAGGCCGGGCCTTTCTTCTATCATGTGAGGCGAGGGAGACAGGCGAGGTCGGGAAGAAAGCCGCGCCCAGCAAAGCCGGCCGGCAAGTGACGTCACCTCAGCTAACACTAGTGGAGAGCACAGGGGATGTGTGGGTATGGAGGATGCCTAAAGCGGACATGTCAGTAAAAGTAACTACACTATACTGCCGCATCCCATTCAAAACCGCCAGCTCTAAACGTAAAAGAGGCGACATATAAAAATGTTGCTGTGCTGATTTATGCACCATACTGTCGTAGCCTGGTTTCACACACCTATGGTGAGTTCACATGTGTTATGTCAAATGAATGTGCCACATAATATACAACACATAACATGCATGTACTGTTTGCCTTACCATATGGTTTGCTGTGCTGCAAGGCACTTCTGTTGGCACGGTGCGTTGGGGTGCCATTAGGTCCACTGTTCATACATGAAATGTCATTTTGACATTTCAATAAAATTTTAAAAAAGAAAAACAAATGTAAAGAGTGCTTTGCATTGTAATAAGACAAGGCTTTGCTTGCCCCCACCCTTGGCACACTAGCCGCACATAAAAAAAAGATCATCCCACCACACTTTAGCACACACATTGAGGTGAGTAACATGTCCATGTGTGTTATGTTATGGCTACCCTTTTATTATGAAAGGGCTGCCAAAGCACCACAACAGATGTAAAACACAAATGAAGGGTGTGGAAATGTTTTTTTTTTAAACTACTTGTCCAAGGGCTAAAGGGGAGGGTGTGGGGGTCAATCTACTTGCTCCTCATGACAATCTACTTGTCCTGATACAAAAAAAATAGTTTAAAATCAAAAACTTATCTAACTGCTAAATAGTGCTTCTCATTGGTCAGCGTGATCACCTGAAATTCTAAATGCATGGCGTGGGGCTATAGTACACCCATACTGACGGAGGGAAAGTACTGTGTGTGGACACAGGGCCAGATTTGAGCGGGTAATTCCATTTTCCCAAATTACCTGGGAAAGTGAACTTACTCTTTAATGCACATTTGTGCTTGTTAGAGAGCGCTGCTGCCCGGTTACCACAATATGGCACGCAGTGAAATGGTGGCAGCACTCAATGCGCACACACACAATGTCCTAAGCGCGCGTTTATTTGCATGCAGATGGTGGGGGTGGTAGGTTTGGTTTCAATTACATTTTTATATATTTTATTTTTTACAACTTTTTATTTATGTTTTTACTTTTTCTACTTTAAAATTTTTTTTTACTTAATGTTATTCCTACGACGCAGTGGCTTACAAGCCCTTTGTGATAGTTTGGAGGTGACAGGTTCTCTTTATGGAACCTGCCCTCCAACACAGAACAGATCTTCTGTGCAGTTTCTGACAGCTGAGACAGGTGGAGCTCTGATTACTGATCACACAAAGCAGAGTGGGGAATAGACGTGCTCCGCGCTCTCCATCCTGAGCTCATTTGCCGGGGACCCTAAAAAACCATGTCTGGCGGGGGCGGTGGTGGACAAGATCGCTGCTCGCTTGATACAAGTGTCTGAGATCACTTGTACTAAATAAGTGGTGGCTCCCCCGATTTACATGTAGCTCTGCTAGCCTGCAGCAGGGCAAAATGTCTAAATGTAGAAAAAAAACTACCTGCCTGGCGCCCAGAACTGCATGTCCCAGGCGTTGGGCGATATGAATTCCACATCCCTGTCCTTTTTAGCAAACCAGAACACAACACATGCGGTGCTCTGCGTGTTGGGGTGCCTTTCACATTAAATGGCTCTTTAATGCACCACAAATAGAGCAGGTGCATTGCCACAGTGCACAAGTGTAAACGGGCCCTCAAGCTTTCTAGCAATAAGTGAACAGACACAAATATCCCTAATTAGGGATGCACCAACACCATTTTTGTCAAGACCGAGTATGATTACCAATACTTTTCCTCAAGTAATCGCTGATACCAATTACCGATACCTTTTTTTTTTTGTGTCATGATACACTTTTTTTTAAAACAATACAAACTAATGATTTGAGAACAGTAGTGGAGCGCCAGGGCTCTATTGCAGCTGCGACCACTGCGACCCTGATAGTTCTACCACAGACTCCAAGTTGTGGAGAGACTACAAATCTCAGCAATACATTATACAGCAATGCAGAATAATATAAAGCTGCATACTCTGTGTTGCTCCAGGGGAGGTGGCCTGATGTCTGCAGGGTTATAGGAGGGCTGTGCAGAGTCTCAGGAGAGCTGTGCGGAGTCTTAAGGTGCACATACACTGTGCGATAATCGCGGGAAATCCGGTGATCGTACGATAATTGCAAAGTGTATGGAAGGCGTGCAACCGTTTTTACTGTACGGTCCCACGCCTTTTGTCTAAGGAGCATGTTCGAAAACCAGCCGAAAATCTTATGACTTTCGGCTGGTTTGTGGCATGTATGGGAGACAAATGCCGAACGGGCCGGTGTGCGCACGTGCACACTGCCCGTTTAGCATTGCGGCCATCGGACGCCCGACCCTCAGGGTATGATCTGCCTGTCCACGATGAGCAGATCGTAAGTTTTTATAATTACTTTACAATCATCGCAAGACTACGGTCTTGCGATGGTTGTAAAGTGTATGGCCACCTTAAGATGGATGGTGCGGGGTCTCAAGTAGACTGTGCAGGGTCTCACCAGGAGTCCAGAGGGTCTCGCGGGCGGCGTGGTTTCCTAAGGAGGAGTTGTGTGGCCGGCGCTGTAAACAGGTGTCATGGTTCACAAGACGGCTGCCAAGGTCCTCATGAAGCGTGGGATCTCAGAAACAAGCTTACATTTAAAAAATAAAGTGCCGGTATCGTGCATTTTCACACGTACTCTTAAAAATGCCCATTATCGATACCAGTATCGGTGCATCCCTACTCCTAATGTAGCCTTTTCCTCCTTCTCTTCCTCATCAAGGGCGCAAAGCATCCAATTTTTTTGTTGGACTGTTAATGCACCCTTTTTTGGTGGGCTGTGCTACACACACAGTAGCAGGTACTCAGCAAGAAGGTCTTCAGTCAGCACTATTATTTTACACAGAAGGTCATCCCTCTACACCAGAATGTGGAATGCCATGAGGCAGCGGGAGGCAGAAGGAGGTATAAGAGGGGAGGAGTTTAGGGGTGCCGGCAGTGAGGAGGAGGAAGTTTTTATGGGAGATTTCAAGCGTGATGTTTCACCCTTCCACAATACAAGGGAAACATTGGTGGTCTCTACTGCTGCCATCCCAGATTGAGCCAAAAATGGCCAAATCGGAAGAGGCAGTGCTAAGGAATATTTTGCCGCATATCCTGATGGTGGCTGGATGCACCAGGACTGTAGGCATAGCTGCAGGGGGAAAACCTATGTTCATAGGTGGCCGCCCTTCCACAAGGTAAGTTTGACTTATCACTTGTTCCTGAAACAGGCAAAGCTGCTCTATGTGTAAAGCACATCACCACATACTTATGCTATACAGTTATGTGTACCAAAGCATTCCTTTTTTCTCTGTTTGCCATAGCTGCCATTACATTTAGTCAATCCCCTTTATTAAAGGAGAACTATGAGGTGAGTGCTTTTCACTGACCTCATAGTTCTAGCCGACCTGTGACAATGAGACTGTCACAGGTCGGCTCAGTAGATCGGGAGGTGAGCGAACACATACCGGCGTTCGCTCACTTCTCGATCATGTCACGGCTCTCTGCCTTGACAGGGGAGGGACTGGATTCCCCATCCTCCAGCGATGACTTGCGGAACGGACGTGGGAGAGGGCGGGTACAGCTGGCTCTGCCTCTAGATAGGCAGAGCCAGCTGTCACTCACGCAGCTGGGCGGATCTCGACCAGTGGCGTAACTGCCACCATAGCGACCCACGCGGTCGCTATGTGGCCCGGGGCAGAGGGGGGCTCGGTCATGGGGGCGAGGGGCTCAGCAGTATACGTGGAGGACGAGACCCGGCTGCTGCGGAGGAGACTGGCACCCTCGGCCGTGGAGGAGGAAGCTGGGGCCCGGAGGAGGAGGCCGGGGCCCGGAAGAGGATACCGGGGATCAGCAGTGAAGTGGAGGATGCCGGGGATCGGCGGCGAGAAGGCCGGAGATCGGCGGCATTGGTGGAAGTGGAGGCCGGGGA